GGTTTACTTGAAGGCAAAGATCCTTTTTTTGGAGAAGATTACTAGGAAGCAAGGATGCTTGCTTTGGTGAAGGTTTACTTGGAGGCAAGGATGCTTGCTTTGATGAAGCTTTACCAGGAGGCAAGGATGCTTGTTTTGATGAAGGTTTACTAGGAAGCAAGGATGCTTGTTTTGATGAAGGTTTACCAGGAAGCAAAGATGCTTGCTTTGATGAAGCTTTACTAGGAGGCAAGGATGCTTGTTTTGATGAAGGTTTATTAGGAGGCAAGGGTGCTTGATTGATAAGTATCCGTGACCTAAAATATAAAAGTATTGGTTTTAAAATAATGAGTAAACAACTTCCGAGATGGTAAGTACCCATCCTTACTCCAAATTGTGCTCGGATGTCGCGTTTTCTACTGAGGAGCTCTGGTAGCAAAATTATATCGAAATCACGACATATGACGTCATGACGTGAACACAAACATCAGATTCTGGTACAAAAAATCATAACTTATGGTATCTAGATATAAAGGTATGCAAGTAGCCATTTTGTTCTGGAGGTCATACTCTTTCTCAGCGATGTTTCTCGTGTTTATACCCCCACATGAAATGTGCAGCGTATATTGCCGCCACCCATGTCCGTCGGTCCGTCCTTCGACCCGTCCGTCTGTCCACAATTGCTCGTAAACACTCTACAAGGCATAATTCTTGACTGATTTCGATAACTTGGTATGGTTGTTTGTAATCACCCAAGGATAAACCCTATTGGAAATCAGACGAATCGAAAAATATTTACTATGAGTTATTGCCCTTGTTCTTGAAACGCTATTTCATACTGGTGATTGTTACTGTACTGCTAAATATTTTTATTCAAAATCAAAGCTGCCAGTGGGCGTATATTACCTTGCCTGGCAAGCTATCTTATTAAACCATGATCACCCAATATCATATATATATATATATGTCTTAATTGGAAGACAGTTCGAATAAGAACTTGCACTGAAATGAGCCACGCTGTGTGATCATCAGACTATTGACCTATTTTAGCCTTATGTCCCTACCCTATTGCACTGCAATAAATATTTGGATGTTTTGTTTAAAGAAGTGTGCTTTTCATATAGATATGTTATTTCATAATTGCTCGTAAACACTCTACAAGGCACAATTCTTGACTGATTTCGACGACACATGGCATGGTTGTTTGTAATCACCCAAGGATGGACCCTATCAGACGAATCGAAAAAATTTTACTATGAGTTATTGCCCTTGTTCTTGAAACGCTCGTAAACACTCTAGAAGGTGCAATTCATGACGCATTTTGATGAAACTTGGTGTGAGTGTTTGAAATCGCCCAGAGGTTAACCCTATCGAAAATCAGAAAAATTGAAAAATATTTAGTATGAGTTATTGCCCTTGTTTTTGAAAACGCGTTCAATTTTAGCTTGTAAACACTCTAGAAGGCACAATGCTTGATGGATTTTGACGAAACTTGGTGTGAATGTTTGTAATCACCCAAGGTTTATCCCTATCTAAAATCAGAAAAAATGAAAAATATTTAGTATTAGTTATTGCCCTTGTTCTTAAAAACGCGTTCAAATTTTTAGCTTGCAAACACTCTAGAAGGGACAATTCTTGACGGATTTTAACGAAATTTGGCTTGAGTGTTGGTTATCACCCAAGGATAAACCCTATTGAAAATCAGAAGAATCTAAAAGTATTGAGTATGAGTTATTGCCCTTATTCTTAAAAACGCGTTCAAGTTTTAGCTTTTAAACACTCTAGAAGGCACAATTCTTGACGGATTTTAACGAAATTTGGCTATCACCCATGGATAAAGCCTATTGAAAATGAGAAAAATCGAAAAAATATTGAGTATGAGTTATTGCCCTTGATCTTGAAAACTCGTTCAATTTGTAGCTCATGAAAACTCTAGAAGGCATGATTCTTGCCGAATTTTGACAAAACTTGGTTTTATTATTCATTACCGCACTGAAGATTGAATATTTGTCTTCTAGAGTTTTCACGAGCTAAAAATTGAACACGTTTTCAAGAACTAAGGCAATAACTCATACTCAATATTATTCAGTATCGCCCTATAGAGTTCAAAAGAAGTGTATGACTGAAGGTTGAATATTTATGTTCAAAATCAAAGCTGCTAGTGGGCGTATATTACCTTGCCTGGCAAGCTATCTTTCAAATCAGGGTCAAAGTGTGATAGATTACCTTCTAATATCCGACTCAAACATTAATATTGTCCATAATTTCAGAATCTTAGAATTCGGTGAATTTTCTGATCACGCACCGTTATCATTCGACATACACCTGAACAGTGAGGGATATAAAGCATCTGAAGGGACAATAAATGAAACAGTTCTCCTAAAAAGGGATCAAAATTTATTAAATGAATTCCATCATACAGACACTGCTCAAACAGTCACCTCTAATACCATCACTATTCATACAGACACTGCTCAAACAGTCACCTCTAATACCATCACTATTCATACAGACACTGATCAAACAGTCACCTCTAATACCATCACTATTCATACAGTCACCTCTAATACCATCACTATTCATACAGACACTGCTTAAACAGTCACCTCTAATACAACCACTCTTCATACAGACACTGCTCAAACAGTCACCTCTAATACCATCACTATTCATACAGACACTTCTCAGACAGTCACCTCTAATACAACCACTCTTCATACAGACACTGCTCAAACAGTCACCTTTGATACCATCACTATTCATACAGACACTGCCCAAACAGTCACCTCTAATACCATCACAATTCATACAGTCACTGCTCAAACAGTCATTTCTAATACCATCACTATTAATACAGACACTGCTCAAACAGTCACCTTTGATACCATCACTATTCATACAGACACTGCTCAAACAGTCACCTCTAATACCATCACTATTCATACAGACACTGCTCAAACAGTCATTTCTAATACCATCACTATTAATACAGACACTGCCCAAACAGTCACCTCTAATACCATCACAATTCATACAGTCACTGCTCAAACAGTCATTTCTAATACCATCACTATTAATACAGACACTGATCAAACAGTCACCTCTAATACCATCACTATTCATACAGACACTGCTCAAACAGTCACCTCTAATACCATCACTATTCATACAGACTACATCAACTACAGAGATGTATAGCAGTTTATATGCCTACATCAAATACAGACATGAGAGATGTATAGCAGTTTATATGTCCACATCAAATACAGACATGTATAGCAGTTTATATGTCCACATCAAATACAGAGATGTATAGCAGTTTATATGTCTACATCAAATACATAGATGTATAGCAGTTTATATGTCTACATCAAATACAGACATGTATAGCAGTTTATATGTCTACATCAAATACAGACATGTATAGCAGTTTATATGTCTACATCAAATACAGACATGTATAGCAGTTTATATGTCTACATCAAATACAGAGATGTATAGCAGTTTATATGTCTACATCAAATACAGACATGTATAGCAGTTTATATGTCTACATCAAATACAGAGATGTATAGCAGTTTATATGTCTACATCAAATACAGAGATGTATAGCAGTTTATATGTCCACATCAAATACAGACATGTATAGCAGTTTATATGTCCACATCAGATACAGAGATGTATAGCAGTTTATATGTCTACATCAAATACAGACATGTATAGCAGTTTATATGCCTACATCAAATACAGAGATGTATAGCAGTTTATATGTCTACATCAAATACAGAGATGTATAGCAGTTTATATGTCTACATCAAATACAGACATGTATAGCAGTTTATATGTCTACATCAAATACAGACATGTATAGCAGTGTATATGTCTACATCAAATACAGAGATGTATAGCAGTTTATATGTCTACATCAAATACAGACATGTATAGCTGTTTATATGTCTACATCATATACAGAGATGATGTATTGCAGTTTATATGTCTACATCAAATACATAGATGTATTGCAGTTTATATGTCTACATCAAATACAGAGATATATAGCAGTTTATATGTCTACATCAAATACAGAGATGTATAGCAGTCTATATGTCTACATCAAATACAGAGATGTATAGCAGTTTATATGTCCACATCAAATACAGAGATGTATAGCAGTTTATATGTCTACATCAAATACAGAGATATATAGCAGTTTATATGTCCACATCAAATACAGAGATGTATAGCAGTTTATATGTGTACATCAAATACAGACATGATGTATAACAGTTTATATGCCTAAATCAAATACAGACATGATGTATACCAGTTTATATACAAAGATTTTAATACAGAGATCTTTAGCTCTTTATATATGTTAATCGGATTGTATTATAGCCTATACTTTAAAAGTTTTAAAATTTTAAATCTTCACGAACCTTGTATATTCCCAGTATTGTACACAGCATAATGAGACAAAACCAATAAACATCACACACAGACATTTTCTCGACTGAATGAATAACTGAAAAGAATTTGAATATTTTATTTTGAATTTATAAGTATTTATTTTTTATTGTATATTTTAATTGAACATAATAAAGAAATTCAAGTTTTAGCTGAGCTATCGGAGGACGTACAAATCTATTGCCAATCGTAGCTTAAGTATTACTAAACATCAGTGGGGAGCTTGTGGGAGTACGAGGTTGGGGGATGGACATTGTAGAGCCCCACCCCACATTGAAAATGTTTCCCAATTTCACTCCACTTCATTCCTAACAAATTTGAAATACGTGTACATGTAAGATATGAATACGTGTTTTCTTCAAAAAATGTGTCATGATGTACCAAATCAATCTATGTTTCAAAAAACTATTAGAAGTGAATCCTCTAAGTCGCCGTGACTATAGCACTTCCGTAGACTGTCTTAACTTAGACAGTAGTCTCCCTATTAAATCATTCTGCCCCGTATTTGTACCCGCAGATTGCTAAATATTATCGATTTATCGCATGAAGAGAAAACCTCTTTGAGTCAAGGTACAAACAAATATGGTCACAATAAAGCCAAACTTGGTCTTCTTGTTTCCAGATACTTAGACATATTGGTAATAGTTTAATTGACAAACTTAACAAAAATGATTGAAGAGAGAATGATCTATCTGCTTCATAAAATATCAAATAAACTTACTCTCATCTTCAATATTAAAGTCACACTGATTAAACAGTTATTTTATATCGTTTTTCGTGAATAAGGCCTTATAGTATAATATACTATAATAAACCGTGAATCTAATCCAAGTTGGCGTCTAAAGTAGAGACCCTATTGAGTTGTCTCTGAATAATTTTAAACATGTGTTTATAAATCATTGATATTATATAGAATATATAGATATTATATAAAATGAATAGATATTATTGTGGGTTGGGAATAGGCAATGGGTGGAGTATGTATTCATATTTAACATTGCAAATAATTGATTTGAATTTTATACGTTTGTGATATTGACTCGACAATTTCCAGGCATAAAAGTAATCACAGAGCTAAAAACAATAATTATAATAATGGAAAAAGAAAACGAATTGGTAGCGCAGATCTATCAGACTCATCTGATGATAGTTCAAGATGATAACTCGCTGAGGAGCCTGATTTCTAATTCATTGAAAAATGAAAAGATAAGTCTTATATATTAAATTTGCTACAACCAGAAATACTGAACATTGTTAACGAAAGGGTTAATTTACTTGATCTTGAGCAGTATCCGCGGAGAACATGTTTGAAGATTAACGGTATACCTGAAGTGATCGATGGTCAGAATACTGATAGGGAAGTTTTTGAGTTGATTAATTGTGCGATATTAAAACCCATTGACGTTTATATATCCTTACAAGATATTGGTCGCACACATCGCATAGGGAAATATCGACAAGGACATTACAGGGACATAATTGTTAGATTGATAAGTTACCGATCTCGACCATTGGTATTCAGTTACAAAAAGAATCGTAAAACATTTAACAGCCAAAGATACAACAAAGTTTACATTAATGAGGCCCTCACACGTAGACGATCCGAGCTATTCAAATATGCCGGTGACACGTACAAGATGAAACAAAATAGAGAACTGTTGGACCTATGATGGGAGGATACTGA